CGGCACCAGGGCGTCATGGTGGGCATGGGCCAGAAGGACTCCTACGTGGGCGACGAGGCCCAGAGCAAGCGCGGCGTCCTCACCCTGCGGTACCCCATCGAGCACGGCGTGGTCACCGACTGGGGCGACATGGAGAAGATCTGGCACCACACCTTCTACAACGAGCTGCGCGTGGCCCCCGAGGAGCACCCCGTCCTGCTCACCGAGGCCCCCCTGAACCCCAAGATCAACCGGGAGAAGATGACCCAGATCATGTTCGAGGCCTTCAACACCCCGGCCATGTACGTGGCCATCCAGGCGGTGCTGTCCCTGTACGCCTCTGGCCGTACCACTGGCATCGTGATGGACTCCGGAGACGGGGTCACCCACACAGTGCCCATCTACGAGGGCTACGCCCTCCCCCACGCCATCCTGCGCCTGGACCTGGCCGGCCGGGACCTGACCGACTACCTCATGACGATCCTCACGGAGCGGGGCCACAGCTTCACCACCACGGCCGAGCGGGAGATCGTGCGGGACGTCAAGGAGAAGCTGTGCTACGTCGCCCTGGACTTCGAGCAGGAGATGGCCAGCGCGGCCGCGGCCCCCTCGCTGGAGCGGAGCTACGAGCTGCCCGACGGGCAGGTGATCACCATCGGCAACGAGCGGTTCCGGTGTCCGGAGGCCCTCTTCCAGCCCTCCTTCCTGGGTAGGTGGCCGCCGCCCGGCGGAGGCGGGGCCCTTGACCTCCAGCCGGAGGCCTGGGCTGACCGATCCCGGGGCGTCCACGCCGCGGCCTTGAGCTCCATCCTGAGGTGCGATGTGGACATCCGCCGGGACCTGTACGCCAACACCGTGCTGTCCGGGGGCAGCACCATGTTCCCGGGCATGGCCGACCGCATGCAGCAGGAGGTGGCGGGCCTGGCCCCCGGCACCATGAAGGTCAAGGTCATCGCGCCCCCCGAGAGGAAGTACTCCGTGTGGATCGGCGGCTCCATCCTGGCCTCGCTGTCCACCTTCCAGCAGATGTGGATCAGCAAGCAGGAGTACGAGGAGGCCGGCCCGCCCGTGGTGCACAGGAAGTGCTTCTGAGGGCGTCCGCCCGCGGCCCCGACCCTGTCCCCGCCTTTGTCTGCGCTGAGGGGAGTCTGTGCCCGCCACGTGCAGACCCCAAACTCAGCTCCATCCTGGCCGAGGGGCCCCGCCCGGCTGACCACACGTCGGCCTCTGTCCACCCAGGAGAACCCGCGGAAATCGGTGCGAGGAGAGGGATCCCGGGAAACGCTCTGTCGTCTGGAGAACGAGGACCTCCCGGCTTCCACGCGGCGCAGCAGCGACCCTGTAAACGTGCATCCGCGGAGCCAGTGAGTCCTGTGTTTAGAATCTGTATTTTCGATTTATTCTACTTCTTTGTGTAGAGAGAACGAGCGACAAGGGCACTAACCTCGGTCTCCACACGAGCTCCCGGGAGATGGAGCAGCTTAAGGTCTTCCGATGACGCGGGCGGCCTGGCCGGCGAGTGCGAACTCCCTCCCTCCCCGGCGGTCGCTGTCTCAGTGGCTCCAGCGCCCCGTCCTTCCTTCTACTCGAAGCAGCATCATGGGAAGCAACGTCCCACTTCTGTTCATCCGTCAGCCAAGTGCTCGGGGCGGAGGGGAGACCTGCTGGGCAGACACATCGTTCCGTGTCTTGCTCACGGGACTCCATTCGACTTGTAAAGCCGTGCGCCTGCAGACACCGCCTCGCTTTACAATAGGGAGACCCGTCCTATCAGACGCCGCGGGCGACAGTCTGACCGGAGCCACTGTGTCCCGACGTCTTCGCCAGGCAGCACGCGTCCTGAAGGGTCTCTGTGGGCCGTGGTTTGGGCATTTCTCTTCTCGAGAATTTCCCGGTGGGTCCCGTGGCTGCCGCGTCCTGTAAATCATAAATTCCAGTCCCAGTACCGTCAGCCCGGGGTCGTTCCTGGGAAGATTTTAGAGTGATTCTGCTTTTTTGTCCGGTAGCTAAACTTCTTTATGCAGAAGCATCTAAGATGCTCACACCTTAGGAAATATCACTGTATCTTCCCTTAATGTCTGAAACTTTCTAATGAATCCAGTGATCATTTTCAACCAATTCAAGTCCCAGTGCATTTATTTCAATATATGCCACGGTTTCTGGTTATCTGGGTATCAGAGTCATTTGCGTTTTTCTGAAATTTTGAGATATTTGGGGGGTTGCTTATTAAGGAATCGTCAGATTCTTAAGAGGAAAGACTTTCTTTTTTCCTTTTCGGTGGGAAACAGGGTTGTGTTTTAAAGCTCTAAGTTGGAGCTTTTAAGCAAGTTTTCCTTAGATAAAGTCATCCCTTCTGTGTCGTCGTTTCGCACCTGCTTTGTGTGGTCGTGTGAACAGTAGAAGGAAGTTCTCCTTAAAACGAGTGCTCACCAGTCAGACCAGGTTACACGTCCCTGCTGCTCTCGGCGTGAAGGGTGGCGTCCGTGGGTGGCCTGGTCCCCAGGTAATGAATGGGCAGAGGGGACAGCGGCAACGAGAACGCTGCCCTGGATGGACCGGCTGCGGCATCTCCTACGCGCAGAGCAGCTCCCACAAACACTCTGACCCACATCCTCACGTACCAGGAACACGCCTCCCCCCCAGGAAGCTCTGGGGCAGGTGCGGGGCGTCCAGGAGACCGGATGGGCCCGGCTCCGCAGGTGAAAGTGCATTCCCGAAGCAAACACACGCAGACCCAGGGCCTCTGGGTGCTCTCCTGCCCGTCAGGAAACGGAGGAGGGAGAGGAGGGAAAGGAAGGCAAGGAGAGAGAGAGAGAGAGAGAGAGAGAGAGAGAGAGAGAGCCACAGCCTCTCAGTGAGCATGGCCGGTGTGGCCCAGTGGTTGGGCCTCGTCCGTGCACCAGAAGGTTGCTGCTCGATCCCGGTCAGGGCACATGCCCAGGATGTGGACTTGATCCCCAGCAGGGTGTGTGCAGGAGGCAGCTGATTAATGTTTCCCTCTCCCTCTTCCTTCCTCTCTCTCTGAAAAAAAATCAATAAAGAGATACCTTAAGGAGCTGTTCCGTGAGTACAACAGCATATTCAGCTCTTCTGATCTGGTCACGGTCCTGCTGGTTTTCCCTGAATCCGAGCTGCTCTGGAGCCGGGTGCCAGGCATCGGACTCCCCAGGAGCCCAGACACAGTCACCGTGACGTGTGTCCTCTGCTGACCACGCGTCGTGGCCTTCCAGAACCTACAGAGGTTCCTCAAACCTGTCTGCAGGGAGGGACCAGCGTGCGTGTGCCCAGCACTGCTCCCAGGTGCGGACAGAGGCCGTGGGGCGTCCGGACGGACGGACGTGCACATTCCGCAGAGAGACTGCTCATTAAAACTAATCGATACGCTGAGCTTCCTTCGTCAATAGGAAAGGGCTTGTCTGGGCTTAAGTGTCATCTTTAAGGAAACACCCCAAGTAGTCAAGCCCCGGAGCCTGCTGAGCGGCCGCCTTGCCTCTCCCCCACCCCAGGCCCCTGTCCCGACCGCCTTGTCGTTTTAGGCTCAGCTAAACCCGCCCACGGACACCAGTGTGACCGGTGACAGACACGGGTCCAGGCCACGCCCTGACGCCCCTTAAAACGGAAAACCTTACTGAGTGGCTACTTGACAACACGGACAACCCTCTCCCCTTCTGTCCTGGCCGGAGCCTGGCTCCAGGAGGGAGGGGCGTGGGGTGCGGGCGGGTCAGGGCAGAGACCGGGGAGCAGAGGCCCAGGCCCCACAGCCGCTCCCCGTCCTGAAAAGGCCCGGCCTCAGGGTCAGACCCGCTGTGCCCGTCCCGACTGCCGACCTGAGCGCGGGAAGCAGCTCACGTTCCTGCGCTTGCTTCTGCCTGGAAAACAGGAATAACACCACCCACCTCGTAGACCCCATGTGGGGCGCGGGGCGGGGGGAGGGAGGGCAGCCGAGCAATGACTCCCTCTCACTGATGTCTCTCCCTCTCCCTTCCTCTCTGAGATCAATAAACATACATTTAAAAAAAGCACTGCCAGGTCCCTGCAGCCCGCGTGCCCCTCACCAGGCACTCGCCCACTGCTCCCCCGTTCAGCTCCCCCCGAGACGGCACGGGCACCCCAAACTGAATGGAGCACTCTCTGCCCAGAAGGGGATTCCTAGTTGGACGGACACCGCGTGTCCCAGCCCGACCCCCGAGAAAACGCAGCACCTGCCGAGGGCCTGGGCGGGTCTCCCCAGGGGACACACTCCCATCAGGGCGCCCCCTCTCTTTCGGGGGCCGCAGGGTAACCCCTCCTTCACGAGGAGACCATGTTGCTCCTAACCGGCTGTTCATGCTCTGCGTCTGCTGGTAGGTGTGCAATCCCTGGTGCTTCTTTCTCCCACTTATTTATTCTCTAAGATAAACCCAGCGTGAGCGGCCGCACAGCCTGCCTCCCGGGCCCGCGCCCTCGGCCGGGGGTGAAGAGGAAGTGCTAACGGGGTGGACGTGAGTGGACATTCGGGGGACACTCTCTAAAGCTCTGGGTCTTCACACCGACCCTCGGCAGGCGGTCATGAGGGGTCTAACCCAGACACCAGGCCCCGAGAGGCGGGCTGACACCTCCTGGCCATGGAGTTCCCGCCTGGGGCCCAGGAAGCGAAGTGCAGGGCACAGCGACCGGGTCCCCCCTGGGCTCCGCTCTCCGCACTTCCATGAGGACGGCCGCCCCCTCTCCAGCCTCAGACTCAGGTAACGACCCTGCACTCGGGCGGGGCCAGTGCAGGCCTGAAGGTGACAGAAGCATCTAGAATTCTTGCTGGACAGGATGTTCTCAGCAAACCCTCATGCTCCTCGTCTTTCCCTCGGGGCCGTGAGGAAAGTTCAAGAGCGGCAGCCACTCCAGGCACAGCGCCCAGCCCCAGCCCGAGGCTCCAGCCCTGCGCTTGGTGCCGGGTGAAAGGGGCCAGAGAAAGACAAGCATCACCTGACCTCACTCATCTGTGGAATCTGATGAACAAAACGAACTGACCATCAACGTAGGACCCGCAGCGGGAGGCGTGGGACAGACAGCACCCCTCGTGGGGCTGGGGACGGAAGAGAGAACCCAAGGGCTCGCACACTCACAGGCACAGCCGTGGACGGGCACGGGGTGGTGCAGACCCGGGGGAGGGGAGGGGCCGGGCGGAGGGGACGGGGGAGGGGAGACGTCCGTAATACTATCAACAACAACAAATACCTACATTCCGAGAAAAAAGAGCGAGACGCTGGGATCCAGTCCCGAGCGAGAACTCCAGCGGAATTCAGCGTTTGGCTCCCTTAGACCAGAGATGAGGCCCAGCAATGCCCCGTCCTCCACGGAACCTGCACGACGTCCAAGGAAAATAAAGCGAAAACCCAGGACAATGAAAGAGCTGTTTTCCGTCTGCTCTTCTGTGAAAACTAAACAACGCGTATCAGGAGGAGTGAGTGTTTCTGGCGATTCTGCCGACGCTGGACCCGGGGCCTGGAGTCTTCACATTCCTCAGGGAGACCCCGCCGACCGGGAGCCTGGCTCGGAGCCGGGAGCCGGGCAGTGGACAGGACAGGGCCGCAGGACACGGCCAGCTCCCTGCTGCTTCAGTACGCACAGCGCGCCTTCCCTCCGCTCTCCCCAGGCCTCTCCCTAACTGCCTCCGTTTACCGTCTCTCCCAGCGTGGCCTCACACGCCAGCGGGGCTGCTGCCCCCGCCACGCTCTCCCGGACACTCACTGAGTGACCCAGACCCGCTCCTTCCAGCCCCAGGCAGAGAGGGTGCCCCCCCCCCCCCCCCCCGGGGCGCCCCCCCCCCCCCGCCCGCCCGGGGCCAGCACTGCCTTCCCTGCCTCTCCCACCGGCCTCCCAGCTCACTTCCCCCCACTCCACCCCACCCACCACTTTGCTTATTGATGATTTCAGAGAGGAAGGGAGAGGGAGAGAGAGATGGAAACATCAGTGATGAGAGAGGATCATGGACCGGCTGCCTCCTGCAGGCCCCACACTGGGGATGAGCCCACAGCCCAGGCAGATGCCCTGACGGGGAATCGAACCCTGACCTCCTGGGTCATAGGTCGACGCTCAACCACGGAGCCACGCTGGCCGGGCTCATTACACCT